TATTGATTTGTCTGCTGGTTAGAAGGATGTACAGTGGGGGAAGGACCAGATAAAGGTTCATGAGTAGGTGTGATATGAGGGACAGATGTTGATGTATCAGTAGGTACAGGAATAGGGCTAGGTGGTTCAGTTTCATATGTGAAAAGTGGTGGTACAGATGTTGGTATATGTGATGGTGAATTAACTATGGGATATTCACATGAGTTATTAATAGGATAATGGTAATTCCAATTGACAGACCTGGAATTTGGATTATATGGCAGGATAGTTTCATGATGTTTAATGTGTCTAGAGACAAAAATCTCTTTATTATTAATATCATATAGAACACACCCTTTAACTCCAGGTTTGAATCCAAGAAAAATATAAGTTCTACCTCTTGGATCAAGTTTAGTTCTATGTGATTGAATTGTGGAAGTATAAACAAGAGAGCCAAAAACTTTTAATACATGTAGGTCTGGTAATTTTTGGTGCATGATGAAATAGGGTGATTTATTGTTAAGAATAGGACTAACTACTCTATTCATGATAAAAACAGCATGGGACACAGCATAACACCAAAACTGTTTGGGTAAATTTGAATGAAACAAAAGGGCTCTTCCTATGTTAAGGATTTGTTGGTGCTTTCTCTCCACTCTTCCATTTTGTTGTGGAGATTCAACACAACTGGTTTGGTGTATAATTCCCTTTGAGGCATGAGAGACTCTTGACCATTGTCGGTCCTAATGACTTTAACTTTGGTGTTGTGTTGTGTGTGAATCAAATTTACAAAATTTATGATGTGTTGCCTAGTTTCAGATTTAGATTTCATTAAAGTGAGCCAGGTATATCTACTGTGATCATCAACAGCAGTAAGAAAATAAGAGAAACCATGAACAAATTTGATTGAGAGAGGACCCCAAATATCAAAGTGTATCAAATCAAAAATGTGAACAGCTTTATTAGAACTTTTATGATAAGGTAAATTTTTATGTTTAGCTAAATGACATATATCACAAGTTCCTTTTGAATCAACAACAACAAAAGGAAATTCCAGTTGAAGTAAAAGCATTCTAGAATTAGAAAGGTGGCCTAATCTGAAGTGCCACAAGGCTTGGTCAGGTATGGTAATGGCATGAGAAACAGAAATACCAGGTGAAATGGTAGGCTTCTTATTTTGCAGATTGAGATAATACAAGCCTTCAATGAATTCAGTTGAACCAATCATCTTCAGTGACTGAGGATCCTGAATCAAACATTGGGAATTAGTGAACTGAATAATACAAGGTAACTCAAGGCAAAGTTTTGATACTGAGATCAAGTTTAAAGAAAATTGAGGGACATACAAGACATTTCTGATGACAAATTGAGATGTAAATCTAATGGTACCCATCTGATTAGCTATAGCAAAATTGCCATTAGGTAATCTTATGTTAATAGGTTTTATGTCTTGTAGAAATTCGAACCAATGAGTAAATCTACAAATATGGTCACTAGCACCAGAATCTATAATCCAAGAACTCGGAATAGAACTATTCAGACATAAAGAAGTAGTTATGTTACCTGTATTGGCCACTGAATGTAATACTTTCGCCTGATTCGACGTACTCGATTGTTGGCCTCCATGAGAGCTTTGGAGAATATTCATGAGCATTTGATATTGTTCATTGGTAAGTTGAGGTGAAGACTGAGCAACATCAGTAGAAGTGTTTGTACTAGAAACATCAGCAGGTTGTTCCGTAGTGAGATTATGAGCATTGGAGTTAGAATTACGTTGCAAATGTGGTGGTACGCCATGTTTGCGATAACAAGTATCTATGGTATGACCTGACTTTTCACAGAAGGTACAAACTCGTTGTCCATGTTTCTTGAATGCATGCTTTCTGCTATCAGCAGCATTTATCAATGCCTTTGGTTCATCATCGGATGAAATAGAGATATGCTGTAGAGTCGAAATTTGACGCTCATGTTGAATAACCATAGAGAAAATCTTGTTTAAAGGAGGTAATGGATCAAGAAGCAAGATTTGCGATTTCACCACATTATACTCTTCATTCAAACCAGTTAAGAAACGTATAACATGCAGCAAATTATGATTGTTCCTAGCACTACGCATGGCTTCACAAGAACAGCGAATTCTACAAGAACAGTGAGGAATAAGCATGTATAATTCTAATTCCTCCCAGAGTATTTTGAGTTGAGAGAAGAAGTCTGTTACCGTGCGATTGTCCTGCTTCAAAGAGTAAATTTCTTGTTGCAGCTCTGAAATTCGAACCAGATCACCTTGTGCGAATCTTTCTTTCAAATCGTTCCAAACATCGATAGCATTTTCCATGAAAACAATTGATTGACCTATCGAATCAGATACAGAACGCATGATCCACGAATGTACAAGCATATTGCAACGAGTCCAAGCGCGAAAGGTTGGATCAAACGAATCAGTAGGAATTTGAATCGTGCCATCCACAAAATCAAATTTCATCTTTCCACCGAGTGCGCGACGCATCGATCTTGCCCAGCTATGGTAGTTAGAACCATTGAGAACAGGAGTAATGGAGATCGAAGAAGGACCATCACTAGGATGCACATAATATGGGCTGGTAGGATCAAGAATTGGATCGAGAGAAGATGAAGCGGAAGCAGTATTACGCGGAGGAGCCATGGATGTACAGGCTCAATGATACCATGTTGAAGTTATTTTCATAGAAGCCATGATTGAATCTTTGAAGAAGAAGAAGAAAGAATAACAGAATTGTAACTGAAAATATAACAGAAAGAGAATAGAGAAAGATAAGATTGATCTCAAAATGTATTGGATTCTATTATTTCATTTTGGATAAGAGTACAAGAGGCAATACAATGGATATTTATACACAGCTATATAGATGTAATATTAGATCTAATAACAGCCCTTAGATCTAATTAATCTAAAACCGCTAATACTTCAACAGATATAGTGCAGAGGTTTGGCACTACCACTGATAGTTTATGCGTTTTTTGTGGGGAGAATGAGAATTGCCAGCATCTGTATTTCGAGTGTAATGATACCAAGCAGATTTGAAAACAAGTGCTTGAGTGGTTGCACATTAAGCACTTGCCTGGAAATTGGAACTTTGAGCTTTTGTGGTTGAGTGAGATGTCAAAAGAGAAAAGATGCATAGTAAAGATGGTGAAAACAGCTGTGTCAGAAACCATATACCACATATGAAATGTGCGAAACAGGGTGATCTTCCAAAATGAGACCAAGGAGATTCTAAACATTCAAGAAATCAAGAATACTATTATATGGCGGTGTGGGTAGAGATAGAAAACTGCAAATTTACTGTAATAAAGTATAGTTTTCTTTTGGTGGGTTTTGCTTGATATACTTAGTCACTGGGTAGCTTGGATCACAGGATCAACTTGTATTTATCTGTTTTTAGATTAATAAAAAAAAATTATTTCTTAAATTTTTTTAATATTTATTGAAAAAATAATATATTTAAATAAGTCACAGTATTTAAGTAATATAAGTCATAAATAAATAAGTCATAATATTTAAGATGTATTTAAATGACTAAGACATATAACAAAGTTATGATAATTTTTAAAATTTCAAGTTACACAATAATTTTTATAACACATCCAAATATATTAAAACACGTCCAAATTAATACTTTTAAGTTAATAACTTTCATTTGAAATTTTACTACATCATTTCATATTAATTAAAATAAATTAAATTTAATAAGTTAATAATTTTAGCTCATATATATATTAATTTTATTTAAAAATTTATTATTTCAATGTATCAAATATTAATTATTAACTTTAATATATATTAATTTTATTTAAAAATTTATTATTTCAATGTATCAAATATTAATTATTAACGAGTATTCTAAAACTAAAATGTACAATATAATTTATTATAAAAATGTTTTAAATAATAAATTTTTAATGTATAAAAAAACAAATTTTAATTAAATATTAAAATTAATGTATTAAATTTAACAAACTTTGGGAGTTGTATGTTTCTACGGTAAAAAAACCTTTAATCTTCAATTCCACTCATGAGAAAATTCCAATCAAATCTACACATACATATTTCTCTCCTACTCACTCGTATATGAAAACATCAATTGACTTAAATATTGATCTCACGTTTTGTAAATTAGTCAAAAAAATTATAAATTTTTTTTCTTCGTAGATATCCTTAACACTTTAAATATATTAAATAAAACATTTCTAACAAATTCATATAAATGAAATTATGAAGGTTATAAATTAGTTATATAATATATTATATTACATAATTTATATTATCATAAAAGCAAATGTAAATAGTCACAAAGTAATATTTTTTGTTTTATATAATTATTTTGTATATTTTTTACTATTATCCCGTTAAATCAAAAAATTTAATATTAATAAGTGATTGAATGTCTTTATTAAATATAAAATGACAATTTAGTGTATTCATTCTATGTTTTACATAAAATTTAAAAAATCAACTAAATCATATTTCTAATAATACTTATTTTTGTTGGGTAATGGAGGCACATGATAAAAAATCTAAATATAAAAAATTTGTATTGAAAAATACAATTAAAATATAAATTTGTATTGAAAAACACAATTAAAATATCAATTATCAATTTTTAATTAATACAATGCACAATTTGAAAGGAAAAGGATTCTGTAATAATACACAATTACCCATTTTTGTTTATAATAATTATAATAAGAACGGGATACATATATTTATGAAATTTTGTAATAATAAATATAATTATATAAATAAAAGGAAAAAAACTACAAAAATTGAAAAAACAAAAAAACAAGATAAGAGTACAACAACTCCTTAGTTAGACCTCTAAAATCTCCTTCGATAAGAGAGTATATAATTTGATAAAATTATAAAATAAAATGAGAAAAGCATCTCTCAAAAGACCCAGTCTTCAGTGCACACACTTGTTGTAACTTCGTCGCTACTTCCAACAAACTTTCAAACCCAAAAACACATCTCTCAAAACCTCACCATGCCAATTCACTCCCTAACCTCTCACACCACCATCCTCCTCTTCCTCCTCCTCCTAATTTCATCTCCGATAACCAAAACCATCGCCGAAAACTCTCACGTCATCAATTTCTACTCCCCAAACCTCTATCCAGAATCCCTAGCCTGGGACCCAACCAAACAACACTTCCTGGTCGGATCCCTCCGCCACCGCACCATCTCATCCATCTCTGACGCCGGCATAGTCGAAACGCTAATCTCCGACACCTCCCTCCCCGAAAACGTCACCGTCGAAGGCATAACCGTCGATTCACGCAACAACCGCGTCCTCGCTGTAATCCACGCCGTCAAGCCTCTCCCTCCTTTCAACGCCCTCGCCGCATACGACCTCAAATCCGGAAACCGTATCTTCCTCTCCGCACTCCCCGCCAATGAAGAAGAAGCCCTCGCAAACGACGTCGCTGCTGATTACAACGGTAACGCTTACGTCACAAACTCCATCGGAAACTACATCTGGAAAGTCAATGCTAAAGGAGAAGCTTCAATCTTCTCGAAATCGCCGCGGTTCACCGAACATTCGGTGGACCCCGACACACTGTATAGTTTCATCGGTCTCAACGGTATTGCTTACGTCAGCAGCGGGGACTATCTCTTGGTGGTGCAATCCAATACAGGGAAGCTTTTCAAGGTTGATGCGGACGACGGTACAGCAAGGCACGTGCTTATTAGCAAAGATCTCACGTATCCTGATGGTGTCGTTTTGAGAAGTGACGGTGTCGTTTTGGTGGTTTCGCCGCAAGTGAATAAGTTGTGGCTTCTGAAGAGTAATAATGGATGGGGGGAGGGTGTGGTTTATGACGAAATTGACCTTGAGAGTGAAGGGTACCCTACTTCGGTTGTTTCGAGAGGGAGGGATAAGATGTATGTGTTGTATGGGTATTTTATGGAGGGTCTTTTGGGGAATTCGGAGCGGGAGGGTTTTAGGATTGAGGAGATTAGGTCACCGAAGGAAAGTGAGGGGGAGAATGTTTGGCTTTATGTGATGATTGGATTTGGGATGGTTTATTTTGTGTATTGGAGGTTTCAGATGGGGCAGCTTGTGAAGAGTATGAATAAGAAGATCAATTGATTGTTTCTAAGTTTATAGTTTATAGCTCAATTCTGTTTTTCTTTTTCTTGTTGTTATGGTTAGGTTCACATAATCATAGGAGTCAAAATTGTATCAATTAGATTTTTTATACAAGACTCTTATTAGAGGGTGGTTATAAATTCTAATGCATTTTTGTTATGGTGCAAATGGTATTGAATTGCGGCATTGCTTATACTCTGCTTATGCTTGATTGTGTGGTTATTTTCTAGATTCAATGGTTACTAAATTACAATAGTTGAGGATTGACAACTTCTCAGCCACTCCACAATCCATTATAGCATTTTCAGGTCAATGTCCGATTGATTTTGAGATAATTGAGTTTGATAGAATTGATTTTAGTAGAATTGAGTTTAGTATAATTGATTTATGTTTGAATACAATAATAAAAAAGTGATTGGTATCTATTAATGTTATTTGGATAATTTTATCAAAATTGATTTTTAAATGTAGAATTGATTCTACTAAATTCAAAAGCTAGAAATTGTAGCTTCTTGTAAAATTGTTTTTGGAAAAGTGGATTAGAAGTGTTTTTGGAGTCAATCCAAACATGCCCTAAGTATAGTTGCCACTCCACAGTCCATTATAGCATTTTCAGGTCATGTCCTTCTTTAGTTATGCTGCAATATATTATCAGTTTTTTTAAAAAAAAATTAGCTATAAACAATTTTATCTTCAACTTTGCCTCTACATAAATTTCTACCAATATTAAATCCTTTCGAAATGATAATGGTGTTGAATTTCTCATGACTTCTTTTTACAAGTCATTAGGAATTCTACATCAAACTTTGTGTGTAGAAATTCTTGAGCAAAACTCTATAGTTGAACGAAAACATAAGTATTTATTCAATGTTACTAGAGTTTTGCTTTTTCATGTTCATCAACCTAAGTGTTTTTGGACTCATGCTTTCCTCCATGCTAGTTATGTCACAATCTGAAAAACAAAACTCCCTTTGAACTTTTATATAACCTACCTCTTACCTTTCACGACATTAAACTTTTGGTTGTTAACATTTGCTTATGCTTAACATTTGATCCTATGGCTCGAAAATGTATCTCTCTTGGATTCAAATTTGGCACAAAAGGTTTTCTCTTCTTTTTGATTTACAATTGAGAAATATTTCTTTTCTCTAGAAATGTTGTTTTTTTATTTATTAAAATAAGTTTCCATATTCTTCAATCTCTTACACTAATCACATTCCAATATTCTTCAATCTCTTATACTAATCACATCCCAGATGACATTAACCCTTATGACAATACCATTTTTATTGACTATGCCTTATATTATACACAATACCTCTTATCAACATAAGGAGACTTCTTAGATTGCTCCTGCCAAAATCAGAATATCAAATAGGCTTAAAAAACCTCTAAGATATTTGCAGGATTTCAGATGCAAACTTCATACATAAATTTGGAACTATTGTTCCTTTATACTCTTTTTTTTTATGTTCTCTGTTATCATAGAATTTATAATTTCTATAAAGCACTGACATCCCGACACAGCGATATTGATAATAATTTTAAAAAAATAAATAAATTAAAAGTAATGTGACAGTGTCTCTGCCTATATCGTAACTAATAAAATTGAATCCACAGTTTGATGAACATGTATATATAATAACTAAAAAAGAAAATAACTTATTGAAACTATCCTCATACAATTGTAGAATCTCAAAACACAACAAAAAAAAACACAATTCTACAAGAGTGCTGTTATGAAATGGTTCATATCTCTTCTCTCTAAATAATCATGCTTGGATTGGACCGATGAGTTAGTCTCTGCAACTACGTGCAAATAATACCAGATCTAGTCACAGAAGAAGAAGAAGAATGAAAGCTAGATTCTACACATCTTGATTCACACTAATATACTATGGACAATCAATATAGTAATCATCAGGGAATGAAGCTTTCTTATCTTCGAAAGGGCTAACTTTATTGTGGCATTGAGAAGGTGCAGATGGTGGAACTGGCCCTTTTGGTAACTGGCTTTCAAACAAGCTTTTGAAGTCTCTAATGGACTCAACTCTTGGAACAACTACCAATACTACAACAAAAATAACCAAACATGAGTTCAAAGAAAATCTATAATTATTCAACATGGTTAGCTATCACTGCTTTCTGAAGTAGCTAGAAGCTTAGAATATATAATCAAATTATACATACATATTACATATTTAATCAACAATGACATGGTTGGATGTTGAATTTTGGTTCCATCATGGTAAATGAAAATATAATTTAATGCAGGTTTTCAACGCCGTATTGGTGAAAATCATAAAACATCAAAAAGATGCTTTTTCATTAGTTAATAATCAGTTTTTTTGAACTAGAGAGTGTGAAAACCTGGTGATTTAAGTTGAATATATATAGGATCAACAACAGCCGTTTTAGAAAGCATGACAAAATGGGACTTTTGAAATTCATGTCCACTAAGTCAGGACTTGAAATACATGTTTATATAGTACGTATAGAAGATGGAGATAATGGAGAATAACTCTTTGACTTAGTTATGTTTTATTTGACAATTTTTCATAGATATTAAATTTTATGAATGAGTTGACAATATGATATTTCATTTTCAAATAAACTCGATAGAATAATTTAGAATTCGAGTTAAATGTGACTGAATTTCTAGTCGATAGATTTGTTGATCTAATTTTTTTTTTGTAACATTCAATCATCCATTTTATCTCTTAGTCAATAAGTCGTCTATCTGAACCACGAAATTAGATTAGTTGGTTTATCATGTGAATCAGAATTGATTGGCTAAATCAAAAAAGATAAATGACCGAAATTATAAGATAAAAAGAAAAACAGTGAAAATGTAATAATTAAGAAATAATGAGAATTGCAAAATGAAGAATGCTAATATAACACCACTCTTTTTGTCTTTTTTTTTACATTCACTCTCTTATTGTGTGAAATATAATTAACTCTCTCACTTTAAAAATTGATCTCATACAAAATAGACGATTCAGATGTGTTTTACCAAATAAAATAGTGAGTGTTAGGGAGAGCGACAAAAAGATATTTTTCTAAACACAACTTGGAATGAGATAATTTTGTTAGGCCCTAATAGAGGCATTCCATAAGAAAGTGAAAAAGGACTAGGCACATTAACGTCGGGGATCTCCTGTACATTGGATAGTGTTGTACCCCAAAATTTTCCCTCCCATTTCCTCAACATTTTCTCATCACAAGACCCTTGGAGCTCAAGATCCAGTTAGGGTTTGCTCTGCTCAAGACTCCTCCTTGCACTGTTGACCCAAATTAGGGTTTGAGTTTGCACAAAGATGTTTTGACCCAAAAGGCCCAAAGTGACTTTCATGCTTCATATTAGACTCACAAGTTTATCCATACCAAGTTTCAAGCCTTGATTCCAATCTTTGCCCAGTCAATTGGACAATTGACCTAGAAATCAACTGTATTGGGGAAAAAGTCAACTGTGGTCAATTGACAGTCAAACCTCATGATTTTTGACCCACATCAGCATTATGAACTCATATGGACCATTTAATCAAATTTGGATCACAATTCCACAAGAAATTTGATCAGATCACCAAAAGGGCAAAATGGTCATTTTTAGGGTTTTGACTGCACAAAGGCAATTTTTGACTGTTTGACCTAGCCAATGGCAAACCAAGATCACATATGGACTCAAGGACCCAATGGCATTGTCTTGACATGTTCAACAAGTTCAAAAGATCCCAAATGCACAAGATTGACAGATGAATTTTCCAGTCAACTGAGCAAAATTTGACTGTATACTGAAAAGTCAAACTTTGACTTTTTGGTCAAAATCAAGTGTCAAGATTCATTTTTCATCAAGACATGTCAAATTATGAAACTTGTTCATCAAGAAATCAAAAATCACAAATTAGGGTTTGAAATGAAGAATTTTCATAACTTAGAATTTTTCTAAGTTATGAAAATCCCTAATTTTTTCCTAACTTTGTCCCACTTTCTCATCAAGATGAATTAGGAATCAAACAAAACTCAAAACATGAAAGTTGTAGTCCATTGCAAAATCTCCAACTTTGATTCACAAAGTTTCCTCAAAAGAAGCTTGTAGCTCAAGTTATGATTTTTGGAACAAGGGTGCAAAACATTCTTAACTTAGAAATATTTTGACCTACTTTAGGCAGGATTTTTGCCTAACTTCATGACCACTTTTCACATGCTTCCACTTGGAATTTCAACTTGCATTACAAATATGGATTGTAGTACACATTCCAAACTTTCCAAATTATCCAAGAACTTCTCAAACACCCTTGTGGTTAGGGAGAATCGAATTTGGCAATATGGGCAAAAGTCACTTTGTTCATAAGCCATGTACATGTTCATAACTTGTGCATTTTTGAAATCAGCATGTGCAAGCTACATTACAGGCCTCTAATCTCATTTACACTCCAAAATTAAATGCCAATCCATTGTGTTCTAGTATTATTCTATGCATTTTGTCATTACATGAAGAATTAAGCCTTAATTAGAAAAAGCAAGTTATCCATTTTTGTAAAGTTACACTTTATGTCAAGTTTACAATCCAAGAGGTACAATGAAAATCTCTGAGGCACAAGTTATTAGACATATCCCACTGATCAAGACAAAGCTTTGTAGCATGTTTAGGGGGCCTGCATAAGCTTGTAACTTAATTTGGCATTTTTAACTTAAGATAGAAGCAACTTTGCAAATACAACATCATCTCTCATTCCTGCAAGAACTAACCAAGACAAACTTGTTGAACACATTCCAAACACCTCAACTGACCTGAAACACGAGCCAACTACCTTCAATACCTCCCTAAACATCAAAACACCATTTTGCTGCACAAAACAGGGCATCCCTGTAGATTGAGTTGCACAACTCAGTTTGCTCGTGCGTTTTGGCCAAAGCTGGTTCATACACACTCCCTACCATCCATTGAAACTATCCCAAGCCCTAGCTACAGACTGTAACACCTCTAACCAACTTCACCATTTTCACTTTTTCTGTTTTGCAGGTTGACTTCTATAGCTCGACTCATTTAGTTTCAAAGCAAGCTAAAGGTTGGAGAAGCATCCCTGAACTTTAAGCAAGCTGTACAAGTCCTCATATTGCCTTGAAGGTGCCTCAATTGTCATACACGAATCAAGCTGAACACGTAAGTTTTTGAACTTCTATCTCTTAATCCAGGCATATCTAGGCTTAGGTTTGTGAAGAAGTTATGTCATACTCATGTCCCTGAAGCCACCCATATCCTCATTTTCCATTTATATTGCATATGCTGAGAGAATTTAAGACCTGAACATTGACAAAAACTTAGGTCAGAAATTGGGGGAGAAGAAATTCTCTCTCATTTCTGAGAGTTAGATCAAGTTTTTTATATGTATGAACTCGTGACATGATGCTCTATAATGTTTGTGTTGTAAGTTTTTTGTTAAAAGTCAAGGAATCAAGAGATAACGGGGATGGAAGGAAGCGCGCGTTTTTTTTATTTGAAACTGTCTGGAGGTTGAAGACAAGCTTGCTTTGGGCTGGGCTTGTTTCTTTTTTCTATTTGCGCCATCTTTTTACACATACACCCCCTTGGCCCATTGTGTTTATTTTTATCATTTTTTGACTTTTTCTTTTTGTTTCTGACTTGTTTATTTTTGTTAAAATATAAAAAATATTAAAAACTTTTTTTCAACCTTTTTTGCATTTTTATTTGAATTTTATTTGTTTTATTTGAGTTTATACATATAAATAAATATCTATATACTTTTATTTAGAATACCAAAATAATACAAATACATTTTGTTTTCTAATTTTATTTTATTTTATCTTTTGAAAACATTTTATAAAAAATATATTTTTTTGTAAATAATAAATATTTTATTTTTGTACATATTTAATATATTTAGTAAATAATATAAATATTTATCTATATTTATTAGAATATTTAGGGAAAAAACATAAAAATAATACATTTTTATTTTCATTAATATTTAACCTCAAAAATACTTTTTTTTACAATATACTTTCTTTTTATTTATTTTTTGTATATAATAAATAAACATTGTATATATTAGATAATAAACACATTTTATTTGCACAATTAGGGTTTTGCCCTAAACATGAAAAATACCCAAAATTATCCTTTTTATTTTTGTTTATTTGTCACATGAAAATACCTTTTACATACATATGAAAAATCATTTTTGCATCTTGCATATTTATTTTATTTAATTATTGTACAATTAAATACCTTGTAAATTCCATTTGGATTGTAATAGTTTAGATTTAAATTTCTTGCTAAAATATCCCCATTTGAACATTTGTACCCCCCATCCCATATTTGTGTTGTAATAATTTAGGACCTTTAAATTCTGCATTTTAAAAGCTTTCTAAATATGCCATGATAGACTTAGGGTTTGTATGCAAAATCAACCAAAAATAGTTTGACCCAATTCAAAGATAACAAAGCACGAAAATGGACAACACCAATCACACTTGCACCCCTAGGGTTACTCCACTTGTTGCCTTCAATAATGGGCCATATTGCATGTTGGGTGTCTTTGGCAAAATAAAACAAATCAAATGATCATAATCCCTCGATGACGCTTTCGAAAGTTGCCTAAAAATGATCAAGTCCCTCAAAAGGAAAAAATTGCCCAAGACACTTGGCACCATTGCAATCATGGTCTAAACGATGACCCGCGCCCGTCCCTTTCACATCCTAACACAAGATTGTCCACCAAATACAATGGTGGAACAAAATTGTTAAAAGGGTTAAAAACATAGGAAAGATCTTTGAGAAATTTAGGAGTAGACAAACTCTTGGTTACTTGCCAACTTGCAAAACAAAAACACTTGCCTATTTTTCAAAACCACACTCCACAACACTTTCAAAACAACTTTCAAAAACATTGAAAACTTTTCAAAAGATAAGTACATCTTTGTATACATCTAAACATGGGTCATTACAAAGGTTGCCACCACATTGGCCTCTTTTCAAAACATTTTCAAAACCCACACACAAAGCACCATTTCAAACAATTGAAAGCACCATTTCAATCAATTGAAAATCAAGGCAAGTTGATCTAAGCAAGTAACTAAGAGCCCATGGATAACCATGGAT